AAGGTGGGAAGTCTGGAGAAGGGATTAGGCTGGCTCAGTGATGCGTGGTGGAAACTTACTCAGGTGTGGCAGTACTGATGTGGGTGTGGATGGGTAAACATGGAAGGAATTGGGGCAGGGTGACAAGGGTATAGATGACCCATGAGGCGGACTAAGAAGGGTTGAGGATGGGGCGCCAGATGTCACTGATGGTGAAGCCTGTGTCTTGCAGAACTGTTCTGTTCTTGTGAATCTCAATTGCCTCACGAACACGGCGTGGATGCCATTGCTCTATGTTGGCAATGAGATGGGCTTGTTGCCGGTGGACTTGGTGGTCTTCAGTGCTGGAGTGTTTGATGATGACAGATTTCTCAAGATGCCCCCGTCGTCCGTGGGCTCGGTGTTCATTGAGTCTAGTAGTGAGATCTCTGCCAGTTTCGCCAATGTACACCTTGCCGCATTCGCAGGGGATCCTGTATACCCCTGGCTTGGTTGTGGGGTCTTGTTTGTCCTTGTGAGACTGGAGAGTTGCTTGGATCTTGTTGGAGGCGGTATGGAAGACTTTGATGCCATGGTAGAGAAGGATGCGCTGGATCCAGTGGGAGGTATTGCCTATGTAGGGGAGGGTGACAGAACTTATGTGCCTAATGGGTTGACCTTGGGTATAGGAGACCCGCTGGTCTGGGGGGGATCTAGGGTCTTGATGTGTCTTGACTTGAACCCGTTTCGCTTTAGTGCTGTGGAGATGTGATGGAGTTCTGGTTGTAGGTGGTCTTGGTCGCAGACGTTGTATGCTTGACGTACGAGGGCTCTGTTGACGGAGGCCTTGATGCTGGGGTGGTGGAATGACCGGTTGTTCAGGTAGTGGTCGGTGTGTGTTGGCTTCCTATATACTGTGCGGGATAGGGTGCCATCTGGTAGTCTTGAAACCTCGACATCCAAGAATGCAATGCGTCCGACTTGTTCCTTCTCCATGGTGAACTGGATGTCGTTGTGTTGGCTGTTGAGGTGTTGAAGGAACAGCTGGAGGTCTTGTGGGCTATGTGGCCAGATGACGAAGGTGTCGTCCACATACCGGATCCATACGCTGGGCTTGAGGTCGGCGGAGAAAAGGGCTGTCTGCTCAAATTCTTCCATGAACAGGTCTGCCAGAACCGGGGATAGAGGCGATCCCATGGAGGTTCCGGAAGACTGCTCGAAAAATTTGTCTCTCCACTGAAAGCAGGAAGATGATATGCAGCTGATCAGGAGATTGTGGATTTGATGTGGTGTGAGGTTGGTCCGGTTGCTGAGTGAGTGATTTTGAAGTAACCTGTCCTTGGCGATGGTGCATGCTTCGAATGTGGGTACATTAGTGAAGAGAGAGACTACATCAAAGCTGACCATTACGTCTGTGGGGCGTAGAGACAACCCGTCCATGAACTGGGCGAACTGGTCTGAGTTCTTGATATGATGTGGGGTATTGCCGACCAGAGGGTGAAGGATCTTGGTGAGGTGCCTGGCAGTGTTGTAGGAGGGGCCACCTCGGGAAGCTACAATGGGTCGGAGTGGGATACTGGTCTTGTGAATCTTGGGCTGGCCGAAGAATCTTGGACATCTTGTACTGGAGGGTCAGAGCTGTCGGTATAGGGCCATGGAGATGCTGTTTGACCGTTGGAGGGCTAGGAGCTTAGCCTGGCATCTCTTATTTGTACAAACATAGAAGATTTTTTGCTTGGTTTAATTCTAACCCCTAGGCCCTTTTTGCTAGGGACCTTCCTCAATCCTCCAGAATCCAAATTGGAATTTGGGGGTGAACAAATTGGAGTCTTCCTCAATCCTCCAAAATTTCTTGAAAATGTTACTTGGACGTGTGCCAACTGCCTCAACCCTTCAAAATCTTCTGGCAATTCCTGTCATTATGTTGAGGCAGTGCAAATGGCATTCTTGAGCAGTTGGGTTGATTCAAAAGAAATATTGAGTGGAATTTGTGCTTGACTGAGCAAGAACAACACAAGGTTTAACCCACGACCTTCACTCATGGCATCCTTTGCAATCAGCCAGAGTTTATAGAATCACAGTAAAACCTGTCTTATAAGATCTTTAAACTTTCATAAAATCGACGGATCAAGACCGTGAACCAGGAGAGTCCTGAATTATTATGAAACCTGTGCATGTACCGTACATGTACTTTGACCTATTCCTTCATGCTTTCATTCAAGGTATCTGTACGACAAAGACACAGTACATGTACCACTCCAAGCAAGAAATTTAGCTTGTTAACGCAGTTGACACTAATCCGCTTAACTCCTCACTATTCATCAGTGGAGGGTCTGGGAAGTAAGCCCTCAATTCAGCGCCTTTTAAATACCGACAGGCCAGACCACCCCGTACAGGCCGAGAAAGGCAGTAATACAGGCCGACGATCATACCAGCAGTGGACGCCACGCCTTACTGTACCTTATGGCATTTCACAAGGCTCATGTCTTGGACCTTTACTGTTTGTAATTAACTCGAGTAAGTTGTTCAAAATCGTTCAGCCATACCTACCCGAAGTCCATTCACATACTGGTGATACTCAGATGTACGGTATGTACATGAATGTAGCATTTAGGCCTTGATCAGCTACAGACCAAGCTACAGCTTTATAGGCATTAAGTGGTTGTGTACAGGTACATGTACTTCGTAACTGGATGTTAAAAGATAAATTGATGATTAACCCTAACAGTCCTCAGTAGTCCAGCAGGTGAAGGACTGAGGACTGTTAGGGTTAATGACTTTTTGGTCACTGGTACGAAGCAACAACTATCCAAGATTAATATCGATATGATACAGTAATTGTCAACAATAATCACATCACACCTGTCTCATGTGAAAAGTAATTGTGAAAAGTGAAAAGTAATGTGAACAGTAATTGTCAACAATAATCACATCACACCTGTCTCATGTGAAAACAATCTTGGCTTTTGGTTTGATGAAAATTTTAAGATGAATGTACCTAAAATGTGTAATGCGTGTTTTTATCAGATGTATAACATTTGTACATGTAGTATTCGGAAATATCTTACCTACTGGGAAACTCAAGTGTTGGTTGATTCGCTTGTTACAAGTTTATAAATTATTGTAACATTCTGTTGTACAGTGTTGCTCAGTGCAAACTAATGAAACTTCAGAGAGTACAGAATGCTGCAGCCAGACTGGTGTGTTGTGAATTGCAACATTGTCACATTACCCCAACTGTCAAAAATTTACACTGATCGCCAATTAAATATTGCATTTGGTTTAAGATTCTTTTGTCTGTTTTAAATGCGTCCATAAAATGCACCTCCATACATTTGTCTTCTTGTTGGATAATGCGAGTCCTCATGTTCACATCAGCTGAAACTACAGGTTCCATCTCACAAGACCTCTAATAACTTTGGTGATAGGGCATTTACTGTGGCTGGCCCTCAGCTTCGGAACCAGTTACCTAATCACAATAACTGTGATTGTATATTCATGAAGGTACTATCTTATTTTATTTCATAATTGTACAGCATTGCAGTTTTTAATTTAACCCCTTCTAGCGGCAGCCGTACACAGCCGTGGCTTTGTGTGAGGATTAGTGTCACATACTACACATACTGGACATGTACATTCTATTCATCATGCAGCTGCTGGTTCAACGGGCCTGCAGCTGGACAGAGCTTTGCATACTGGGCATACCGCAGCCCGGCAGTCACAGTCAAAAGAATCCCGGCTTGAAGGCGTTAAGTTATAGTTTTAATGTCAATGTAATGAGTTGTAATACAAGTTAGAAACATTTTATGGATTTTGGGCAACAGAAATGACATTATCGTTATCAAAAAAATACAGAAATCATACTCCATATTCAAGATGAACTCGAATATGGAGGAAGCTTTTTTTAGTCAACGTAAAGGCCACAGCAGCTTCAGTCCTACATGTACCGGTAAGTTCTACAGCAGCAGCTGTTAAGTGGTTACATTCCTTAGTTAACACAAAATTGAATCCAAGAGATTCTCCGGTAGTACACAAATCATTGTAAGTGAAAGAAAACAGCCTCACAAGCCTTCTGTGCAAAAAGAAACAGTATCTCTTGAAATGGCTAAGTGCATTATTGACAAATTTTGAGGCCTTAACAACGACTTACATGTAAACTTCCTATGCAAAGATGCATTCTCAACACAGTTGTCCTATCAGTCAAGCTCAGTCAAGTGGCATACATGTATAATACATGTACATGTAATGTATGTCTATGTACATTTACTGTACTGGGCAAGTGGAAGGAATTTTTGACTGTTTTTGACGGTTACAGCAAAAGGAGTGGAATTAAGAACAGCCTGTTACATGTACATGTACTGTATGTTGCTCTGAAATTCTCTACTCTTGGGTCAGGATGAAATCACTCAAATGAAAGCTTGCCATATCTGAGTTACCAGACATGCCAGAAGGAAAGGGTTTTATGTAACGGGTTTTGCCCTTACCCAACGTATACATACATTGTACATG